TTTTCAAATTTTCTTTTATATTGGGATACAATTTAAGCCATGTTGTCTTAAAAGACTGGATTTTTGTAGAATTTGGTATCCAAAGTTGTTTGATCTTGGGAGTGGATCTTGTGTCTAGGGAGAATATTGGTAGAAATGCATTGTATTACAGATAAGCTCTTGAGTGATTTAGCATTGATGAGGGTGATGAAAATCAAGGAGTAACTCAATTAGAAATCAAGTGATTCAAAGGTGATAGGATAAAAAGGGAGGATGAAGTTAGACGGGCGTGAAATCCTCAACTGCATGAGTTATCTTTATTTGGGAAAAGGATATTTATAGAGTCCAAGCAAGATCTATAAAATTTGAGAGGAAAATAATATATGGGCAGGATGCTGTCATTAATGTCATTTCAAAAATGAAAACCCTATTTCTAAAAGAATGATGTTTTAAATAGTGTACTAGATATAGTGCTACAACTTATTATTTTTGTAACATATGTGTATCAATTAGCTCTGGGGTAATTGATTTAACACTCGTGTTGAAGTTTTATTTAAAATTTAAACTATTTGAGACATGAGTCCATTCTTTTTGTTAACATCAGTACTCCATTTCACTAGGTTTAAATCTCAATCCTAGGTTTTCCCATTGAGATCGATATTTTCCATCACCATGTTGTTTTCTGCTGTTTTCTCATGAGCGATTATTTGGATCTTTGCATCATGAGCTATTATTTTCTGCTGTTTTCTCATGAACTAAAACGTCTGACATTTGCATCAGTCCTAAATGTCTTTTGTTTAGAAGATTTTCTGTTAACATATACACATCTTTTTGTATTTTCTGAAGAAGGGTGGGTGTTCATTGTTCTTATGTAACAAATGTTTCCCCTGTACAAGTTTTATTAATTTTCTAGGTAGAGAATACCTTATTTGTTGGACCTTTCTTTGTTAATAAAGATTTTTTTAAACCCTTATTCCTTTGATTTTCAGAAGGATACGAGACACTGGCTCGAGCAAAAGCAGGAACATCCATCAGCTTGCATCATGAAAATTCTGACAACAAGGGAAATGGTTTGTTGTCTGATATTCAAAATCCTGCGAGTCAACCTGAAGTTGAAATTTCCAGCAGCGGAACTGATACATATGATATGTTTGCTGACGATGATGAGCATGCGGTTCCATCTTCTAATGAAAATTTAGCAGCTGATGCCAATGGAGTCAATCTACAATCTCCCAATAAACTTAACCCTAATTCTGAGAGTATGCCTTCTCATCCCATGCAAATAATAAATAATAAAGTTCCACTTAATTATGTCAATTTTTATTTTCTTGATTAATTTTTTGTTTCTTATTTGTTTGGCATGCAGGTGGAGCTTCACAAAATGACTATGTCTATGATGAATCATCTGGGTACTTTATTCCTCTTCACTTTTATGGATTCAGGAGGACCTAATTCAATCTCTCCTTTTCTGCACTTGTTCATTTCTTCAGCAGTAACACCATTTATTTCTTGAGCAAGGTGCATTTTGATAGGAATGTCAAACCTCCTATTCATTTTTGGGCTTAGAGGTCGCTTGCAGAAAGTGGGAAATGGTTAAAGGGACTAAAGAGTTTTTTATTTTAGCTAGCCAGGGAGGCATGCTAGAGTTTGTTAAAATGTTAGCAAGGGGGATATCATGAGAGTACTAAGAGGAGTAATTTGTGAGGCTATGCGAAAGTTATTGAAGCCTTGGAACTAATGAAAATTGCTTTGAATTATGGGAAAGATAATTTGTCAAATCTGATATAAATTTCAACTCTCTCATTTTTAGACAGGTTTCTGGTTTTGAAAGAATGAATTAGCCAAATTCCAAGATTTCAAGGTGGTGAGGAATGATATCGTTATGTTAGATCATCATCCCATTCTCCTTAAAACTGGGGTTTACCTTGGGGACCTAGTCCATTGAGGTTGGAAAGTGTGAGTGAAGATTCAGAGTTTTACAAATTTGTAGAAGCGCAGTGGAAAAGTGGAATTGGCTGTAGGTTTGTTGTTTCCAAGCCTTGCCTGAAATGGAGAAGGCTCAAATGGACTATTGAGGGGAGTGTTGCCAGATTATGTTTAGAAATTCAGGCAAATAAGGGAGGATTTGTAGAAGCAAATATGTCTCAACATCACCATGGAGGAAGGTGATGGAGAAAAAGGGGAATTGTTGAAACGGCAAATAATTAATATTATTCTATAAGAGCAACAGATGCTACTCCAATGAGGTAAGATTACGTGGGTAAATGAAGAAGGATGAAATTACAACATTTTTCCACATAGGCTGTTAGGTGAAACTTTATTTCAGAATACTACCTTAAATATGGTGATAATTTGATGACTAATGAAGAAATAGAAGGGGCAGTAATAAAGATATTTTGACATGCTATGCTGAAGTAGTAGTAGCTTCCTGCTAGAAGGTATAGGTATATATTGGATCTCGATTTCAGTTGAATGGAAGAAGCGGTTGGAGAGATTGTACGGAAAGAAGGAATCTTTATTAGCAGGAAGAGAAATGCGTAGCTCAAAGGCACTGGAGCAGATGGATTCTTGGAGAGTTCTGAATTCTTTTAGAAAGGTTGGAACATTGTTAATGGAGAAAGTATGGGATGATTTCATGATTTCTTCGATTGATAAGAAAATATGGGATGGCCTTAAGGGATGTGGAACCCTTAATCTAAAAGGAAGTCAAATAAAGGGACTCTAATCTAAATTGATAAGAAAAGACGGAGCATTACAAAAATTCTGTTAATATCAGTCCAATCAAAGGCTGAAGTTGTGTGTTTTACTCGACCGCAAGATTACAAAAGAATCGAACTTATATGAGAAGATTCTGGAAATCTCTTTCTTATAGCATTTGTCCAAAGGATTCTGGCTTTGTCTTTGAGCCACTTACACTGTTGTTGCGAACAATCCCAATAGCAGAGGATTTCTCCACTACTGCAACACATGTGACAGATTTGGGGGGATAGAGCAGAGTGAGATTTCCTTCTTTGAACCTTATCCAAAGTATTGGGAGTACTGTGAGGTAGGGACCAAACAAAAAACTCTTCCAAATGAGTATACTGATCCCATCATCAAGAAAAGCAATATTAGAATGGAGAGATTTAGTTGCAGACTTCAAGGGAAAAATTCCCGATTTATCAGCAAGCCAAAAGATCTTGTCTAAGTCTTGATTCAAGGAAACCCCATGCAAACACCTCGCCAAAAGAGACCATTCCTTTAACTCTCTATACATCCCTCTTTGCAACTGGAAGCCCAAGCTTTACTGATATCCTGCCAACATCTTTGGACCGAGTAAAACATAGATTTAGCTATAGTATGAATAGGAGTGTTGAGATATCCATATATGAATCAAATTTATCCAACCCATCAGCTTAAGCTTTTGGCTTTTGGGTTTGGGTTGAGTGATATTTTAATCATCTTTAACATGATACCAAAGTGGGAAGTCCTGTTTCGAACCCCTGTATTGTTGTTTCCTCTCCATTTATATTCATTTCTACTTGTTGGGGGTTGTGCAATTTTTCAAGCCCACGAGAAGTGTTGAGACTTGAGATATTAGAATTAAATTTATTCAATCCATCAGCTTAAACTTTTGGATTGAGTGGTAGTTTAGTCATCTTTAGCTAGAAGGAAAGGACTTACAAAGGGACTGCCCACTGTCTTACCAAATTCTAATGTTTTTCCCATTTCCCAGGTAAGCTGGATGTTATTTCTTTGTTTTATATTTTTTTTAAAAACTAGATACGACCTTCTCATTGAAACAAACGAACTCGTAGGAGTGAAAAACCAAAAAGAAAAAGAAATTTCAAAATTCCGGAAAGATTGCAATTCTTTCAAACCCAAGGCCTTGAAAAACATATAAAGAAGTGCAGTCCCTCCAGACATGAAACCATGAACCAACAAAGATAATAAGAAAGTCTTCCAAGTCTTGCTCTGGAAATAGACAGCAAGAGCTTAAAATATTAATTAAAAAAAAATCTTCAATAATGTCTATAAAGTCAATTGGAGATTATTTTAAAGTGGAAGAGTGACGTGACGAAGTAATAAACAGCCCTAATCACTTGATCTTTGTAGCGATTCAAGCAGAATCAATGCCACTAACTTCCTAATCCTCACTAAAATCCATAAACTCATCTTCTTAAGCCCCTTTGATAATCGTTTGTTGAATGAATAAAACTAATCTCCCTCCAAACTTCATGGTAATTTTCAAACAAATCCAAAATAACATTTTCAAAGAATGTTACAACCACCCTTGAGTTAACCTTGAAACACTTTTTGCTATTAGACTCCATTCCTCATGAAAGGATTTAGCTCAACTTTGAGGTTTAATTTCAAGATCTCTACTTCAAAATATTGAAAAAGTTCTTCCTTTTGATTGATAATGAGAAAATTATCAATGCTTTGACCGGCAAAATCTCTTGAATTATTAGGAGTATTGGGGGAGGATTATTTTGTTCCTTGGATAAAAGACATAAGCTTTCGTCGAGAGAATGTTCATTGGAATTTAAAGGAATCTCATCTGCAAGCAAAAGATTGAAAGTTGGTTAAGGTGTTTGGTGATTCTGGATGATCAAAAGAGAAATATGTGTTTTCATGATGTATTTACAAGGCTTACAGCAACCATCTTTGTTTTAGATTGACATGCCAAAGGAAAGTGTTGATGGAATAGAGTATTATAGAAACTTTTTTTACTCATTAGTATTTTTATGTTTGTGATTGTATATATAACATCATTGAAATTTTATCTTCAGGTATTATTACAGTAGCAGTTTGGGGTATTATTATGATCCATCCACAGGACTCTTCTGTTCTGCAACATCTGGGCAATGGTAGTCTACTCATCCCTGTCACTCTGCTCACTGACTTTCTTACTGTGATTGCATTCTTGGAACTTATCTTGGTTAATTCTGCTTGTATAAGGGCTTGAAACTTTTATTATGCTGATCTCTTCTTAAAAAGTCTGTGCTGGCCCAAATCCTAGAGACATCGAGGGTTTTCCTTATTAAGCTCACACACAGATTCGATCACGCAACCCTGAGTAGGTGTTACTCAGAAACTGTGTGCCTTTTCCAATAAGGCTGCTCTTGCCTCCTACCCGTGGCCTAATTTTTAGAATATCCTAATAAGTCTAGGAACCTAAATGTTTTTTACTTGGTTATTTTTATATACACGAGGCTTTGAACTCCTGTTTTCGTGGGATTGGCTGATTTTGATAGTAAACTACTTGTTGGCGTAGGCTCCTAGATTCCTTTGGGCATGACTCAAATGGCAATTTCTGGGATTTCTTTGTTTCTTTCTTTACTTTACTTTTGTTTTTACCTATTCCTGACTGATTTAGATTATTTCTCGATTACATGAATTGAAAATGAAAACTAGCAGAAATGGTCAAAGATTTCTATGACAATAGGGAACATATGTAGACACATAGTTGTGTGCTTCAAGTAATCTGGCTGCATAGTGAATCATCGAAACTCACACGAGAAATCGTGAGGTTTATGCTGCAATGGACATTGTGGATACAAACTGATGCCGATTTCTGATCCTGTAGGTACTCTTATAACGAGGAGACTGGCACATATGACGAAATCCATGAAGCTTCTGCCACTGATGCCAACTGAGAAATTGGAGAGAAGGTGTTGATGGGCAGAACTGTACAGAATACTGAACTGAGCAACAAGTTGAAAGATGTGAAAATGGGGTAAAATTGCAGTTCTATTTGCTCTTTGTATTGTTTTGTTGGAATCCCATTTGTAAGTTAAGTTATGCTCTACAATTGTGGCTTTACTTTGTTATTACATCACTGAGTTCTATCAAAAGACTCGCTCAGCATGGGGAAAGTGGGTCTCTAATAGAACTTCATTTGGTAAGTACATCAGTCTTGTAGCTGGATTTTGTATTTTAAAGGCTTAGTTTTTGTTTTTGTTTTCATTTTTTCGTTTTTTTAATTACTTTGCATAAATTATCATTTTACTCTTCGAGTTGTTCATTTGGTTTTTGAGATTTAACTCATGAGCTTTTAAAAATAGTTTCGTTTGGTTTCCAGCTATGGTGGTTGATTGGAAATATTTCTAATTTATATTATAGTTTTGATGTCATAAAAAATTATTTTTTAAATAATTTATGATGACATGAATAGAAAATCACATATTAGTCCATAAAGTTAGTAATATGGCTTTGGGATTTATGGAAGTTTGGACTATTTTTCATTTCAATATCTTCCCTTAAAAAAATACATATTTTAGTATTGTCAAATCTCGTTTATAGCATATGGTAGACCATTCATTTCTCGAAGGGTCGTATTATTTTATTATTTAAATTAAATAAATAAATTTATTTATGTATGTTATTTGTATATCATTTAAATTTTATAAATAAAAAAATGCAATTCAATTTAAGATAAAAGAATTTCTATATTAATATTGCAGTAGCTCTTTGGTTGGGTAATGGAGAAATCATGAGTCATTAACATATTAAATATGTACCACATTTTTAACTTACGTTTTACTGAGATTGTGTCATCTGTTGTGCCGTTTGGTAGTTTATAATTTATTATTTTCGAAAGAAATATTTGACTGTAAATTAACTTAATTACGGTTAAAGGTTCCAATAGGTGAAAATGGTTTAAGAATGGTTGGTGAGGTTTTTTCTTTCTTTTTGAGTTTACATCTAGTTAATGGGTCTGAATTTCTGACTTTTCAGTCGACATATGACTTAACCAGTTGAATTATGTCTAGATTAACCGATTTGTGAAATTAAACCAATTGCATTAAATTAATTTTTAAAACTAAAATTTCTGCAAATAACTACTAAGCAAAAGCAATACAAAGAACCAAAGCATGTTGCAAATATGTGGAAAACATTTAATAAAATTAACAAAATAGTAACTACATTTAGTATAAAAAAAAACGAACATCTTGTGTCAATTACATTTAGTTTTTTCAAATATAACATTTTTTATATTAAAAAAAACGAAGGTCGTGTGTGTAATATAAGTGAAAATTTTTGTTAATATTTAAAAATTTTAAAAATAGGTAACATATTTTGAAATACATAAAAGATTTTTGCTATCTACTGTTATTTTAATTTTTTTTAAGAAATACATATATAAAATGTATATTCAAATTTGATTTTCAAGATAAACTTTAATATTTTTTTAAACAGAAGTTAGAGATGGGAAATAAAAAATAGTTGACTTGTCAATTATATTTCTGTTTTGTTGCTCGATTCATGAGCAATTTTCAACTTTCAAAGTTAGCTTTCAGACAATAAAATATACCCCATTTAGGGTGTATTTGTGAGTGATTTTGGCATTTTTACCATTTTTAAAATCATTGATCATGTTTCGCCTTTTTTTTTTTCATTAATCATGTTTGGCAAATTAAAAAATTGATTTTAGTAAAGTTTAAAATCATTTAAAATTGATTTTAAGTTTCATTCCGATGATGGTTTTTAAAAAGCAATTTTTTTTTAATTACTCGTTCTACCATCACTCTTAAAGACACTCTTATCCACGATTTGATATTTAAATGGATATAACTGAAAGTTTAAAGTTACAATTTTAATCATTCATTCTTCTTGTTTTTTTTTTGGGTAAAGTAAAACATTATTATTATGTATATATATTTAATATTTTTAGTTCATAAAATAAATGTGAGGATGAGGTTCAAACCTTTAACTTTTGAATGGTACACGTGTTTTACTACTGAATTGTACTCAAACTAACTTTATTTTTTATTATTATTAAATTATAGATTTGATTTTTGAATATTCAAATATTCAAATCTATTCAAAATATTCAAATTAAAAAGTTTTTAAATATGACTGCCAAAACATATTGAACTCACCTTATTCATTCACTTTTGCCAAAAGCTTAAAATTACTCGATACCATCTTGCTCACCCAAATGTAACTCACACCAGAACATTTAATTTGTCATGTCGTGACTATGTAATCTTTGAATAATATGATTACTGTTACTGTGTTAGGAATGCAACCAAGTCGTTGGATAATCGAAAGATAATAGTGTATAAGTGAATGACAATACCTCCATTAGTATAAGACACTCAAGTAAAATCAAAACAAAGTCACGAGGATTTATATCCTAAAGAAGACGACAACAATACATTATGGAGGATTTTGTTTTCCTAACAAGTAGATATAAGAATCATGGGGCGTCAAATAAAGAAGTCATGCATTATAAACTTTTTAAAGTAATGAATGAGACTAAATAGATGCAATCCTAAAAGTTAAGAATATCTGTTATAAAATTTGAAAAATAGCTAAAGTAAATAGCTACACCCCAACAAAAGATAAGGCAATTTTGTGCCTAACCTTTTTTATTTTTAAGTAAAAAGTGAGAACGATGAAGTGGAAATACTTGATAGAACATCTTTCTGTGTTATTTTATTTCTTTCAAGTAACAAGAAACAAAGAAATATAAAAGAAGAAAAAAATATATCTTTCCTATTTTTCTTGCTCATCAACCAATTTAAGGATGCTCACAACAATGTGAACTCTCCTTTTTCTTGCTTGGTTTATCCATTCATTCATTCTACATTCCTCTCAACTGAATGAATCAGAAAGGCTCTTGCTTTCTTGCACAGGCAGCTGCACACCCAAGTTCTCAAGTCTTCCCATTGTAATACTGCAAAACGGCTCGGGAAGCGCCCGTCGATGAGTCGATAGCTCTTGAGCTACATTCTTCATTGTTGGCCTAAACTGAGGATTGGCATTCACACAATCCAGTGCCAATTTAGTGAGTGTGAGTATTTCTTCTCCCACTTCACTTGTAGGAGCTGATAAGCGCTTGTCTATGATATCTTCTAGCTGCAATGCTTTTATGTTCAACGGTTCGGAATGCATCGTCGCTGACAACAATGACGACGATGAGGTCGAAAGAGCATATATAAGCTCGCCAGGATGATGTCCCACGATTGTTTCAAGTATCACGACTCCAAAGCTATAGACATCACATTTTTCTGTGACCTTCATTGTATATGCAAGATCTGCAACCCGGATAAGATACAGTTAGAAGAACATTTTAATGATACTAGAGAGAAATGTTGATAGTTTGGTAAGTCAAGTACCTGGAGCTATGTATCCATAAGTACCAGCCGTTGCAGTCCAATTCGATGAGCTGAGGTTTACGAATCTAGCAATGCCGAAGTCGGAAAGGCGAGCTTCATAGTTTGTATCTAATAGTATATTGTTGCTCGAAACGTCTCGATGAATGATCGGAGGCACGCAATCATGATGCAAATAGTTCAGAGCATTGGCAACCCCTTTAACAACATTGATCCTTCTCATCCAATCCAATTCTTTTGCTCGCTCTTCGCTGCTCAAAATCTTAGCCAAGCTTCCTCTTTCCAAGTACTCGTAGACCAAGAGCGATCGCTGAGTGTGAAAACAGAATCCGTAAAGTTTAACGATGTTTCGATGTCGGATTTTTGTCAGTGCACTTATCTCACTCTCTGATATTGCTGATTGATCTTCCAAATTGGTGTGATGAACAACAGAATGCAGCTGCTTCACTGCCACAACTTGGCCTGTTGACAACTTTGCCTTGTAAACACTTCCATGTCCTCCAACCCCAATACAATGCTTCCCATCAAAGTCTTCAGTTGCAGCCCTTATGTCTTCATATACCAATCTTCCATCATAACTCCAAACTGAAAACAAATCTCCATTGTGTGAATCTCCCACCTTGGATTGCTTCTTTCTTCTTCCTTTTCTCATGGTACACACAATTCCAATGCCTATGCATAATGCCAAGACCAACACTGCAAAAGAAGGAATAACAATCAAAAGTACCATACTAATGGCTGCCTTCTTATCCTTCACAAGAACAGGGCAATTCTTCAAGCTGGTGTGGTTTCCACACAGGCCTTTGTTGTTCTCAAATGCCTCTGCTGATGCCTCTTGGAAGGCCTGGCTCTCAGGAATTGGACCTTCCAAGTCGTTATACGACAAGTCGACAAGCCGTAAACTTTCCATTCGATCTAAAGCGGATGGGATCGAACCGGAGAGCTTATTGTGGGAGAGGTTTAGTATTTCCAGTTTCATTAGATTTCCGAGTTGCCGGGGAATGACGCCGGAGAGCGCGTTGTGACTGAGATCCAACAGCAACTGCAGGGTGGCTAGATTGCCAAGCTCAACAGGGATGCTTTCTACAAAGTTGTTGTTCCTCAAGTTCAAGTATAAAAGTTTTGAGAGATCAGCTATTTGTTTTGGTATTGGCCCACTCAGGTTGTTGTCTGCTAGATCAATGTATGAAAGATCAGGAATCGTTCCAATTTCTAGAGGCATAGAACCAGAAAGCTTGTTGCTGCTCAAAGTCAGGTTGATCAATGACTTCAAATTTCCAACTTCTTGGGGAATTTGTCCTGAAAGATTGTTGAAAGACAGATCAAGAACATGCAAGACACTTGAATCTCCAAGTTCTGTTGGAATCTTCCCACCAATCTGGTTGTTGGAGATCTTCAAACTTTTGAGAAGTCGGCATTTCGCCCAATTCGGCGAAACTTCGCCGTAGAAATTATTGTAGCTCAGATCGATGTAATCCAAGTTGGGATATACGCCGAAATCTTCGGATATGTTTCCATGAAACTTGTTTCGATCGAGTCGAAGCCGAGTTAGAGCATTGCAATTCTTTAGGCCCTTTGGGACAGGACCACTGAAGTTGTTGTTACTAGCACAAAAGCATTGGAGTAAGCCTCCATGACACAAAGTTTGTGGTAAAGGGCCAGAGATGGTATTGTTTGAGAGGAAGAAATGAGTCAAATTGGTAAGTTTGTTGATCTCTTTAGGCAGCACACCAGACAACTGATTGCCAAAGAGGGACAAAACATCTAGGCCAGAAAGATCTCCAAACGACGCCGGGATCGAACCGGTCAGGTTGTTTAAGTGCAACCGGAGCTCAGCGAGAGATGTCAACTCTCCTAGCTCTGATGGGATTGAGCCAGAGAGGTGGTTTCTGCCAAGATCCAGAACTGAAAGCCTCCTCAAGTTTCGGATCCTCGTCGGGATCGAACCTGAAAGAAGGTTTTGTGATAAGCTCAACAAAGTAAGCTTCACCAGCCCTCCCAACTCCTCTGGGATACTCCCATCAAAGGCATTGCTGCTGAGGTTGAGCCTCAGCAGCTCAGGAAGCTCGCCGATGGAAGGTGGGACGGTCCCGAAAAGGCGGTTACCGTGGAGATCGAGAGTAAGGAGATTGGGGAATGAGGAGAAGTTGAAGTGTTCAAGAGTACCAATCAAACCAATGTCTGTGAGAATGATTTCTTTGACAGTTTGAGCATTGTTGCAACTGATGCCAACCCAATTGCAAGGAGTTTTTGTTAAGTTTGAATTGGGAAGTGGGAGTTTCCATGAAGGAAGGAGAGATTGAGTCTGGTTTTGAAGGCTAGACTTCCATTGCAGCAAAGCTTCAAGCTCTTCCTCTCTCTGTTTTTCAATTGAAGAACCAAATGAAAAATGAAAAATGAGGAAGATGAAGATGAAGAAAAGAGGTAAAACTGCCTTGAATTTCATGATCTAGCTAGAATTTAGAAACAAGAACGCAAAACATGAAAATTGGTACAAAAAGAACTTGGCCATCCCCAAAGATATATAAGAAACAGAGCTGAAGTTTTTTTTCCAACAACTGAAAGTGATTGGAGTGGCAATATTTGGCTGATATTGGTTTCCATTTTCTTTTTCCTTGGAGAATGGTCAGTGATGTGTTTGGATCCATGGAAAATAAAGGATTTTCTAGAATGGGATCAGTCAAAGAATAATATCATTCCACACAACCCACCAAAATTTTAAATCTCCAAAATTTTTAATGAAAATATTAATAAAATATCAACGACAGACCTAGGAATTTATATTGACAATATTTAAATTAATAGGAATTTTACCATTAAAATTTCTTATCGTATAATATCTATATTAGTAACTGGTACGTATTTTGTTCATTTTTTACAATATAATCGAAATTGTCAGATTCACTTCATAGGGTGATATCATCGAATCGTAGTTGGGATTCTCCCCCTCCCTTCCATTTAAAGACGAGTCTTGCAACATCGATTACAGTAGTGGATGATCATCGACACTTCCGAAGTTATTTTCAAGATTGGCATAGACTAGGTGATGGACTCCTCACCAAGTCAACAAGATTTGTCCTTTATTATAATTGGTTTTCTGTTCCAAAGTGGCTTCAAATCACATTTACAATGATGCCCTTAGCTGTGCATTTCCCAAAGACTACTCCAAATTTTTGGGTTTGACTTCCCAATACAAATGTGAATACTTTTCTCTCTTACCCTCAATTTTAGATGGGTGACTTGTTTTTGGAGTATTAATTTTAATGAATTATACCTCAATTTGTTTTTATTTTGCTTTTAAAATTGGGTTGAATTATACAAAATGTTTCGAAACTTAGATGATTAGTTTCAATTTTATCATTAATATATCGACAACTTAAAGATATCTTATCAATTCGAGCATAATTCAATAGATTAAATAACTATTACCATTCTTAACGTTTGATTATCGATCATCGACCTCAAAAATGGTTGAATTACAAAAAATCTACTTCAATCTTTTAATTTGTTTCTAACAAATATTTCTTAGTAAATTCTTTCTAAATTTTTAAAATTTTAGGAAAGAAAAGTTGAAACCAACTACTTTTTGTATAATTTATTTTGTTTCATTTATTTTCTTTATATTTAAAAGTTTGAAATTTACCTTCAAAATATTAATTCTATTATATGTTTTAATAGAAATTACTAATAAAGGGGCTTTTTAATAATAATAATAATAAAACATGTGAGGTAAGATTAAAACTTTTAAAATAGTAAGGGTAGAACTGAAACCAACATTTACCGAGGGTTTGAGTTCCTCTCTTTCCGTATTAATTCAACAATGTTACTTATCACAATACTATTATTCCAACTGTTAGACCCTTCCTAGATATAGATTTTCTATTTCTACTTATTTTTTTTTTGTGCGGAAAGGAAAAGACCGGAAAAAATGGACAAGAGATGAAAATCCAAAAAAGATGAATCGTTCTCAAAAAGGAATCTTTGATTCTCTCCCAATTAGTTGGATCGTGGGTACGATGATTTACTTTACCGGTGAGATCTCTGGTTCAAGTCCAGGATGACCTCGAGAATAATTTTACACGATTTAATTTTTTTTTTTTTTTTGCATTTAACAAAACATTTTAAGTCAACTAATGTAAATTTGATACAAAAACTTAATACGTGTATCTTTTTCTATACGGTGGCTTGTAAAATTCTTATTAAATATATTCAAAAATTAAATATAGCAAGCACCAAATTGGTCGTTTACGCAAAATCTAAGAGTCAAAACAGAATATTGAAAATAAATATAATAAAAAGATTTTAAAAAATTTTTAAAAATCCAAAATTGAAAAAGCGAAAGAGTTAAAGTTGCTTGCAAACTTCGAGACACGAATATTTACAGCATGACCAAAAAACTCAACATTCATGGTGGACAAAGAATTCACTGAATAATATCTAAGAGAAAATCTTAATGGTTATATAAATTCAAGGAGGTTAAACTACTATTTTAGTCCTGTGTTACCTTCGGTTAATTTTAGTTCATGTATTTTAAAATGTTCTGTTTGATTCTTATATTTTTTAAAAAGTAATCATTTTAGTCCGTATTTGTAAAAATTTTAATACAAATTTTACCCAAACTTTTACCAAAAATAAGTTTAAATACTATTTTAGTTTCTATTTTTTTGTTTTGTTTATTTTAGTCTTTGTATTTTTATTACATTGTTTTTTGTCTATATATATATATTTTTTTTTTTAATTGATCATTTTCATCTCTATTTATAAAATAATATAGAGAAAAATGAAGAAGAAGTTTAAAAAATTGACCATTTCGATCTTTATTTATAAAATAATACAGAGAAATGAAGCCCAAAACTTCTTCTTAGGTAGCGAAACAAAAACAAAACAAAATAAACCTATTTTTCTCTTTCATAGAGTACTCGGCCACCCTATGTTTTGAATGTAAGAATTTTAAGTTTTTTTTCCCTCAACAAAGAAAAATTAAGTTTTTTTTTTTGGAAAAATAGAGTGAGAGATTTTCTTCGCGTGGGACAGTTCTTCAACCTCTATCTAAGAGTTTCAAGAAGTTTGAAGGATTCCAGCGCGAAAAAGGTGAGAAATTATTATATAGCATTTGTAAACTCTCGAAACTTTTTTGATTTTTTAGTGGAACTTGGAATAGTATTAGAGAACTAGACCTAGCCATTGGATGAATGAATATAAACCTAATGTTGATGCGTGGATTATGCTCTCCCGGTTCCTTCCGAGGTTCGCACCAAGCTTGATTATCAGGGACTCGAAGACCTGCAAAACAGAACAACACTAGACCGGTGTGACACTTGTCACATAGGCTCCAATGCCTAAGTTAGCAAGGGGAGCAGTAGAGTCATAAAATTCAAGGGTGGAATTCGGCTTACCTTAAGGTTAGGTAACCTGATTGATTTATAGTTGCTTGGAAGGCTTCCAGAACCTTCTAAATGAGCCCTAAATGATTGTTGTGAAGGCCCAATGATTCGTAGACAACAAAAGAGAGAGAATGTCGGGCTCGGCCCCGAGCACGGGTATTCGGTCGGTTGACATAGGAACTGGGCGGAAGAGATCGGGTGGCATCTTGACCCAGAGACCAAGACTAGATACTGGTGTCAAGGAGGTCTCAGCGTCGAGGCGGGGTCGGCTCCAAGCCGGGTCGGTCTTTAAGAATGGGCCAACCCTCTTTGTCGATGATCTCAGGCTTCACGGTTCGACCTCTCGTCTCACTTGGATCATTTTTGCTCCCTATAACACCTAGTGTCAATTTTTTTTCCTAATCTTTTTATCGTTGTTGTTGCTTACGATCTAGGTTGGTTTATCTATGCTGAATTTCAATTTAATTTAATTATGCTATAATTAGAATCGAACATGATCTGTGATTAGTTAATATATATTGTATGCTTTTGATTTACATAATATATAGTTGGCTTTTTTTATCTCTAACGTTTAACACAAAATTTTATATACAATGGAACCCTTCTAATATAAATTTATGGCATAAAAAAATAGTATCATGCTACAATTTTTTTATCAAAATAAATTAAATGTGATAAAAATAAAAATGAATGGACCAAAATGATCACTTTTTTAAAAACACAGGGACCAAAATGAACAACTTAGAAATATAAGGACTAAAATGAACAAAAGTTGAAAGTATAGAGATCAAAACAGTGTACAATCACTAAAATGGACCAAAATTGAAAATACAAGCTAAATATTTTTTTAAGTACAAAAAATCAACATAGTTTTTTTTTAGCCACACCGAGCATAGCTCAAGTGCTTAAAGCACCTATCTCATGATCAAGAGGTCATGAGTTCAAATTCTCACCCCCACATGTTCTATAAAAAAGAACGCAAAAACTAAAATAGTATTTAAACTCATTTTTTTCTTTCATTTTTATTTAATTGTTATATAGATACACTAAAATTAACTTCGGTGAATAATGGCTTCAATTGGTACAAAAATAGAAACATATTCAATTACAAATCTAAATCTTTCAGAAAAAAAAAATTACAAATCTAAAAAATAAAAAATAAAAAAAAAATTAAAACAGTTTTTAAAACAGCTGTCATTTCTTTATCAAGATGTTGCTTGAGTATATTTTATTCAATCGTTTTCAATTCTTTTTAATATAAAATAAAAGTTTATTCTTGACAAATTTTTAATTGTCACGTATCCATGCAAACCTATAATTAAATTATAAAAAATTGGTGTAAAAAATAATGAGGTTTGTATACTCCACGGCCACATGTGATGAAAACTGAGATCTAAATTCTAAATTAAAGATTATAGTGAATATTTTATAATTTTGACCTAAAAAATTTTGGGGATTTCAAAAATATATTTAAAGAACTTAGAAGAGAGAGAAAAAATTAAGTAAATAACCCAAACCCACATACACAAAACAATATTCTCCTTTTTTTTTCTTTCTCGACTACTAGAATTTGGGGTTTTTGTGACGTTAGTGAACAGTTTTTAAACTATCACAAATTCTACTAAATAATATATATAAAATTTAAAATATATATTGTTAAATATAGCACAGAGTTAAAATTCTAAAAAGAAAAATTAGTATAATATGTTAAATTAGAAGGTAAAGGTTAAACGCATCAAAAGAAAATTAAAGTTACGACACATGAAAAAGAATGAAAAAGTTGTGATATTTTCTAGTTATGAAATACTTTAATTTCGAGATCCTCACTGAAGTAACAATGTACGTAGTCTCTAGACTTTATATTATCTCCTTGAATTTTAGTAGGTAACAATTTAATCTTTATAATTTAAACACTATAGTAATTTAATCTCTATCGAAAAAAATCTCATCAAAATTAAATGTCACATCTTATTATATATTTTTTTAAGTACAATATGTGGGGTGGGAATAGAACTCCCAATTTCTTGATTGGAGATATATATCAATTATCTTTGAGTTACGCTCGCTTTGGCTGTCGGCTGCCACCTATCAATGTTAAAAAGAAGATAGTTTACCATGTTTAATAATTATTTCTTGTTTTTTTGTTATCTAAAATTTTGAATTAGAAAACGTAAAAGTTTTATATGAAAATTAAATCTTAAAATTTTTTAGGTTAGAATTAATTTTTGAATATATATTGTGCATTTTATAAATAAAAAAGGATAAAATAATATTTTTATTATGTTTTGAAAAAAAAAGACTGAAAACAATGACAAGAAAGAAGAAACTTGATTTTGTTGTTTCCAAAATTTTTACACAATCTAACACAGAAAAAATTACCAAATGCTATGTTTTTCAAAAATTGAAAATGACAATGTTATCAAATGGGACTATCGTGATCGTCTCTGTGAAATAGTCGAAGAATGGATCCAGAAAAATGTTGAAAAGCAATTCAGCCCTAAGATGTATTGGTCCATTTACTCTTGATAGGAGAAATGTGTGCTTGAAGTTAAATATCTTCTCCATTTTGGCCTACTTTATTCTCACGAAAATCACTTCAACTATAATACATGATTTATGTTACTTTAATATGATATTTTTCGATTCAAAGAGTAAATGCACATTTCTATTATTTTGTCTGTAATATATAATTGTAAATAGCTCAGTGGTAATTGACATATATCTCCAACCAAGAGGTTATTAGAAAAAGTACGTAGTTCTTGCGAGAAGAGTCGCGTCAGAGATATTTTTATCAAACTTTCTTCGCCAATTTTCTTTCATTCACTTGATAGGAGCTGTAATAAATATATTTATCTATGTCTCGATGTCTAAGTAAATTCTTGTTCCTAAACAGAGCAATAATTATCAGTTCGGTAACATTAATTGTGTAATAAGTTATTACTAATAACCATTGATTTCTTTAATGTGTTAAATATACGATGTCGAACACGCGTCCGACATCTTTCAAATGTGTCAGACAAGTATCATTTCAAAAATTCAAAAATCAATTTGACTTAAACCAAAATTATTTTAGTTCTTGTGAACATTTTTATAAACCTAACACAAACACACATTTTATTCATTTATGAATATATATCTAAGTAAATATATGATCTACGGTAGGTGTGGTGTCAAATTTTAGCTTATATTTTTTAAAAATAAAAATTAACGACAATGACTAAAATTTAAATAAAATGTTTAAAAATTTAAATAGTAAAATAGTATAATTTTTTCCTCCGAAAAAAAAATAGTATAATTTTAAATTTTAAAACTAAAATGACTTAAATAAGAAAATTTTGAGATAAAAATAGAATTTAGACATCCTTCATTAATTAAATGTTGGTGCCTACCAATTTATTTTATTTTTCAATCTCTTCATATATATATATGCATACAATACATACATACATATGTGTGCGCACACACATATATTTTTATCTACATTTCTATAAAGTCTCTTTCAAACCTCGAGACACAAATATTCATAAGATGACCAAAAAAATCAACAATTAACATGATTTACAAAGGGTGTAAATATTGTTAATATCTTTCTTATTTAAGTTTATATTATCATGCATTTTATAGGTAAAAAAATAATGATATAATATTTTTATCTATGTTTTGAAAAAAGACGTAAAACAAGAACAAAAAAGCTCATTTGATAACATTTACATTTCTTGTTTGGGATATCCTTTTAATAAAGAAAAATTAATTACATGACCTCCACCCCATAGAAATATAAAAAAAAATATATAATTTGGAAGAAAAACTCAAAAATTACTTTTAAAACATTTTCTTAAACGGCTGTCATTTTCATCAAAATATTGGAGTATATTTTATTCACTTTCTTATAAAAAAAAAAACATATTTCTCCTTGACAAATCTTGAATTGTCATGTATCTCTGCTTCAGCCTATTAATTAAATTATTAAAAAATGGTCTAAAAGATAATGAATTTTTGGTATACCCAACATGTGATGAGACCTAAATTAAATGCTATAATGAATACTTTATTTAGAAGTTGACGTGATAGAGGAAATCAATTATGAACTTTGGGCATTACAAAAATATTGTTTAAAGAATTTAGAAGAAAAAGGAAAAATGAAATAAATAACCCAAACCCACACACAACAATATTACATTTTCATAATCTTTTTAATTTTCTACTTGATACCAAATGGATGTACCTAAAACCCATACTTAAAAATAGGAGTACTCCACAATAAATGGAAGAAGTTGCCACATGGGCCAAACTGAAAATATTGATATAAAAAACAAACATGGTTGTGTGCTGGCTGGAAGGAATTAGATCCGACTCGAAGATGGGTGCAATTGAGAGATCGAGCCCGCCATGAATCTCCCAAAGCTAAACAAGATGCCACTTGCTCGAATGTCTCCACAAGATCCACAAAAATTAAGTTTCAACTTCAATTTGTTCGTCAAACAACAACCTTCGAACATTCCAACGTATTGTTTTCGCAACTGCGTCGATAAATTGTTGAAAACAGTGTCGTTGGCCGAGATGAGAGTCTGTTTCATCTTCTTTTGGTTCAGCCTTCTCCAGAACAGCATCGGCTTGTATGCAACTTCAGAGATACTTGTTGGGCATGAGAGGATGGTGAGATAGAAGGAAATGGGCCTTCTCGTGCTCTTTGTTTCCGTTGCTGGATATTACGCCCAATGAAGATATGGAGAAACATGAGCGATGGGATTAATGTGCTTCTTAAATTTGGTACGAGAATGCTGAGGTGGGTTCGTAGCCTTTAATGGTTATGGAAAGGTTGACGATTAGAGGGAATTAATGCAAATGGTGCCCTTTTTGGTATCCAAATCGGTGAAACGAAAGCAGAAGGAATGTGCTTTCATGACACCTAAGTTGGTAACGGGTAGATATTCTTACGTCACCGCCAAAAGATCCGCTAGCGTGAAGGTAACCCATGTCGTCGTCGGAGAGGCTGGCTGGCTGGCAGCAGCCAGACTGTTGGATGGAAAGGCTGTGATGTCGCAGGCAGATTGGAGATGGGAAAGAATGTATTGAACTTACTATTTTCACATTAATCTAATAGACTTTTTGGCCTCTCTAAAAGTGAACTTTGCTGGTTTTTGTTCGAGCCTTGATAAACTAAGGCATGTTCTGTGTTGGTCCTTCTACCTCCTCACAAGGGTTTCATGATATCAAAAGTAACTCGAATTTTGAGGCTTGTCACCCAACCCCCAACAGCAATTGTGTTCATCGCATTCAACTCCTTCAAACAGACAAGTGTATTTCCCATTATCCTGCTCGAAAAAATGGAACCAAAATGAACCATTCTTGAAATTCAGGTCAGAAGGTTTGACCATACTTTCTGGTTTATCAATGACTAAAAGGAATCGATCAAAACACCAGGGTTCTGTAGCTTCAACTGAAAAGGAACGGCATTTCCCCATTTTCGAATCGATATACACAGCCACTGTATCTTCCTCATAGTTTGGTTCGAAATTCTTCCAAGAAGCTTGATGCAAACAGGAGGCAAAGATAATACAGAGATCAAGAAACTTAGAGATCCACAGGTTTTCTAAGAGAGACTGTTAAGAAGAGCAGAGAGAAACAATGCCTTCAGCTAATGCTCAGTCCATTTTTTTAAATTAAATATATGTTTCTGTTTAAGTAATTTTTTCAATATCGTTCAATTCAATCTCTTATGTTGACCATCATTGATAATAAATTATGACAATACACTGTACATAGACATATATGAAAATAATTTATGAATTGAAAAAAACTTGAGGAAGAAAAATGTTGCCTAAGAAAATTTTTCAATTCCTCTCATAGACCAATTGGTAGAAATTATCAAATTTCTTCCCTTGATAACAATTTATGAGTTTTACAAGCCAACACCAACATAGCCCCATCAAATTGATACAATGGCGAGTCCACAGTCAAATTACAAATCTTGAATAAATTGACTCAATCCTATAACTAAATAAGCTAAATCTACAAATACTTGAAACAGGTTGGCCAAGACAACTGAATTCTAATCAAGTTATTTGAATAAGAGCTCATTCCGCTCATGGTACTCCCACCAAGATGACACAATTGCACTATCTTATAACTAAAACCTCTGCCAAAAGAAAAACATATAACCAAACTTCCTACCAATTGGGACATTTAAATCATCATCAAATACCTACGGATCCAAAATTTAGTAATTGAATCCAACTTCATCTAACCTACTTTAAAAAAAACAAGCAAAACAGTGCCAAATGTTGCAAATCAATATTATAATTCTTGTTAAATAAATTTTCTTACAAAAATGATGTAAACAGAACATATATTGATATTATTGCACTAATTTACACGCACGACGTAACATTGAGGCAAGCAAACATCAATGCATCCAATGTCATGTCAAAGCAACTGCAAACATCATTGCCAGCCTCACCCAACAACAATGGCAGCAACAGCCAGCTACAGCTACAGTGCTACTTGTTAGCACTTCAGAATCAATCAATCGAACCCATGTCTTAACGTACATCAATAAACATATCTGCTATCAAACACCACACCACAGCTACAACCAGGTGTCCGAAAGCTAGAATAAGTCAGTCACCACATCAAGCAGCAAGATTGATCTAAAAGTTATGGATAATAACCTGTAAGTTCAAATCCACCCCCTTCAAATAATACACAAAAGACTGTAAACTTGAGTTACCATGACTAATCATGTTCTCGTGCAATGGTTCAAACCTGCAGCAGAGCCAAGTTTCCCTAAACCAGCCTTCGCCATTAAAAAAACAATATCCCTCAAATGCAACATCAGCTATGAGAAAATAACTGATCAACACAGGTGGGTCAAACCTACTACCTATATATCAACAAAGCTTCTAGTTCTCCTAGCAGGTGAGGGTAGTTGTATATAAACCAGAATGGATAATCAGGTCAATCATCAAATCCTAAAGCATTATCAAGTTTTTAAAAACACTTAAACGTGACCATAAACCTTACCAATAATTTTATCCAGTGAACATTAGTTAAGACACTGTCCACAGCAACATCATACTGCATAGACAATCATACTGATAAATCAGCAAACTGCTGCAACCAGCATCAAAGTCACGATCACCCATCTATCACATAGAAACAGCATCAACAGCCACAAAATCAACATCCGCCAATCAGGCGCCAGTCACTCTTACCCCGAACATAACTATAAAATCCAATAGAGGATTTATGATGAATCAGGATAGCTCAAATATATAAAAATAAAAAATAAAAAGAAAGTACTAGGAAAAGAAAAGGGCACCACAAATGCTCAAAATAAAGTAATACTACAGGGTAGAGAACAAAAATATAAAGAAAAACATGTCCCAAGCTAAGTCCTACAACCAGAGTGAGATACAAACTGCAGAGCCAAAAAAGTATCAAACTGATACAAGATAGTAGATAGGCACGTTAAGCTCAATGTATGATAATTGAACATCATAGGAAAGTCCTACCAAAACTAGAACTTATAGTCTGATAACATTTTTAATCAACGAGTGTCCTCAAAGCATTCATTCCTGCACTGCTTGGTTATGTCCACAGTTCTCCTTGCATCCGTTGGTATTCACTTCTGTCAAAATTAAAGCAAATGAATAAATAACTACTTACAGGTTCAGACTAATAATCCCCTACAGCCTATAGCTCATGAAGCAACTCACATCAACATCTGAATTCTGTGGAGATGGGCTTCGTGAATCAGCAGGTTGACCACGTGGTGAAACACTTCTAGGAGTTGGAGTCCTTCCACCATCACCATTTCTTACAGGACTTTCACCCCTAGGAGATGGACTCCTTTGAGGCGAAAGACTCCTTCTTGGACTAGCGCTTCGTCTACCCGGAGAAGCACTGTAATGCATAGATCAATTACTGATTAGAAATAAAATTCCCAATTATTTCCAACTGGATAAAATGTATAACAGCTTTACAACCTATCCACAGAACGACTTTGGCCACGACTTTGACTTCGGCTGCAACTCCGACTGCGACTTCTACGCTCATCATCATAGCGCCCTCTTCCCCTCCCCTTGGAGTAATCAGGACTAGGCCGCCTGGGACTGATGCTCCTGCTTCGCCTCCGATAGTCCCTTTCTCTCTCTCTTTCCCTCCCACGCCTGTCACGATCACTCCTGTCCAAGCTTCTGCTTCTACTTCTGCTTCGACTTCTCCTCCTATAATCCCTATCTCTGTTATCATCCCGGTATCTGGAAGTAAGAAATTTCAATTAGTAATTTGAATTTTAAAAAAAAAGTCAAATAGCAATGGACAATAGCAGGCTAATTAATTAAATAGAGTAATAACTGATAATTTTCAGTTAGTAACTTTACATGCGAATGGACACAAACTTGAACTCATGCAAGAAATAATTAACTACGATCTCCTTTTAGATCTTCCCACATTTTACTTCTCAAACATTATGACATCTCATGATAAAATCACATACTACAGCTAACCTAAAATAGAACAAAGTCATTGGATAAAGCAACATCAGTGAACCTCATATCTGAGGCAGTAGAAACAAGAGTTTGTTAAAATAATCCTCAAGCACAAGCAGTAATCAAAATAATCTAACGGGCCAAAAAGTGTGGCTGCCATATTTCTCCAATACCCTATTTTAACATGAGCTTTCACCTAATTCCCCTGAGGAACTCTAATGACCAAACTAGTTTCTTCAACAGTGACACCAATATACAACCTCAATTTATAAAATTTCAGCATCTTAAAAGACATTTCTTTGGCTTCAACAGAAAATACATAATATATCACAAAAAGGAAGTGGAGTTGTGGAGAAGATTACCGTCTCCGTGGACTGCGACTTCTAGACCTGTATCTTGGCTTTGTAAAAGCCTCACTGATCTTTCCTTTGTGACTAGAAGCATATTTGACAAAGATACAACACCAATTAGCAAAGTAACTATATATAAAGTGAAGAGTTTAGCACAAACATTAGAACATGTTGACAAATGAAAGGGAGCAAAACCACAGCTTAATAATACTCACATCCTTTCTGCATTTGGACCATACTTTGCAAACTGAACAGTTATCTCGCGGCCATCAACCACTGTGCCTGGAACATAACAAAATAAAGAAGCATAGCATTTATAAGCTTTGTGATTCATATGCAAAAGATTAGCTCCCAAAACAAATGCATTGAATGAGGAACTATGCAAAACAAATGCATTGAATCCTAAACAAAATGAGGGAGTGAGGCATGACTGTAAATCAGGCCAAAATTAACACAGAGGGGATGGAGGAAATTTCAGAACTTTTTGGTATTATAGAACCCAAAATGATGTGGTTATCGCCCAAAACATTAACAGCCTTCAGCCCTCAGAACAAAAATATCAAGCATCTTCCTTGTAAATCGTGAGTATCTACAAATTACTTGCACTTGCAGAGGACAAAAATAAACAAAAAAAGACAGTGGAAGGTCTACCATCTAGCCTCTCCACTGCTTTTTGCGCCTCATCTGCATACTTGTAACGCACAAATGCAAAACCCCTAGAATCACCAGTCCTGATCCAGAAACAATACAAGAGACGCTATGAAATAGTCAATACGGCAAATATAAACAAACAGATAAAAAATAAAATCCGCAACTGAACCCAAGCAGGAGCATTTAAGCCAAATGAAGAATATCATTTTACCGTCTGCAAACAACTGAATTCATTTAAAAAAAAAAACCCATACAAATATCAATCAAGGCCGTCGCTTCCAAACCTCTAAATGTTAAATTCAACAATTAAAAAAAATTATCCACCGAGTAATTCTCCAGCTAACACGACTAACAAGAAACAAAATAATATCCATAATTTTTTTCAGAAATAAAACAGAGGAAGAAATCAAGAAAAGGGGTATAAAAACATAACAAAGCAGGGAACTATACCTTCGATCTCTGGGGATGAAAATATCGACAACCTTACCATACTTGTGGAAAAGCGGGTACAGGTCATCAGCCGTGGTACCTAAAAACACATCAAATCCCAGCCGCAACTCAGCGTCGAGAACAAAAACCAAAAAACCAAAAAAATATATATATATATGACTAAGAGAGATAACGAAGCGTACGGAAAGTGATGTTGAGCACGAGAAGGGAGTAGGTATCTGTAATATCTGGAGGACCTGACCTTCCAAAGTGAGACATGTTGGGAGGAAGAGGAAGTTGAAGATGAAGATTAGGGTTAGGGTTAGGGTTCGAACGATGGAGAAGAAAGGTCCAGAGAGAACTATGATGAAGGAAGGTTCCAGAGAGAATCTTATATCGAGAGAGGAGAGAGAGAGGGCAGTTCAGTAAAAACACTCTTCCAAATTGTCCCCTCATATAACTCCTTATTTACGTTCACGCCCTCTCTACTCAATTTCTTTTTTTTCTTTTTTTTTACTGAATATATAATTCTGTTACGTAAGTGTTATTTTCTAATTTTGTTTTTTTACCAAACTTTTTCAAAATGTCAATTTCATTTTTTTTTCACTAATTTTAACTGGTACTTTTTTCGATTCAATTAAAGTCAGTGAATTTTTATTTGGCAGATCCATTTAGCTTGCTTTTGAAATCTGGAAATTTAGAAAATAAATTTTAGAGTTTCTGGATTTTGAATTAAAACTTTAAAAATTTATAAAATTTTGGATAAAATATACTATTTTGTGTTATTAAATCACTTATTTTGTTGAAATTAAAATATGTAATATATAATATATAATAAATTATATAATATTGTAAAATAATAATTTTACAAAACTTACATATTAATAATTTAATTAATATTATTTTAGATTTTGAACTAAATTTTTATTCGTAATTATCGGTTTAAAAATATATTACTAAATGCGTTAGAGATTTTTTTAAGTTTGAGATTCAATATTCAAACCTACAATCAAATATATATAAAAAAAAAATGGGCATCCATTGTTTTTAAATCACCAATTAAATGCAGCCAAGTGTGCAAACAAATTCATTTTTTTAATATTTATTTACAATAAGTATTTGATTAAAGTATTTTAATACATAAAGAATTTAAATCAAAACTTTTGAAACATTAATGATGGAATTGAAAATAAAAAGATACAGCAAAACTCAACCTCAAGCCCTCAAGCCGCAAGACTTATGATTTATCGTTAATATAAACATAGATCAACGATAATTAACATTTATTTCTTCTCCTAGGTTTAGAAGTTCAATCCTTCCTACCATCAATTTGTTGTATTTTAAAAAAGACTTACAATTTATTTAGTTAGTCAATGCATTAATAATCTTATTTGAAGGTGAAGCTCTTAATGTAGCTCCTAAGTTAAAATTGCAATATTAAGAAAATGAATAAAAATGATAATTTATTTATAGGTCATAATGCAAGATAGCTCTAATTATTTATTATTCTTATTATTGAAGAAATATTATACCGCTTTTCAAATTGAAAGTTATTGGAGGGAAGTTGTAATCACAAACTTTTTATGATGGAATATTTTTTTTAGTACAACATGTGAGTGGAAAATCCAATTCATAACTTCTTAATTATATATACCAATTACTACTGTAGAACTATACTCACAACCTCTTGGTTGGAAATATATGTCAATTACCGTTAATTATGCTAACAAGCTCTGATGTTAATATGTGAGTATTTTTTGGTAGCTTTTTGGGGTGGTAGTTGTTTACAACTACATTGAAAAGAAGTTAAAGAACAATGATCTTCATAAACAAGCTAAATTATTTAAGATGCTGCAAAACTTTGACAATAATTTCAATTATATTGATTCAAATATACTCCTAAACAATTTTACCATTAAAACAGGTGGCAAAAATTGGTCATAAATGGAGTCGTGACTTTTAAAAAAAAGATCGGCAAAATTGTTTAGAGATACATTTAAATCAATTTTAAAGGTCAGATAAAAGTAAAAACTTTTTAATGATAGGTACATAAATGAAACTAACCTGAATTTTGAGGATATGTGCTCATTATTAATAATTCAATTAATGTCTTTCAAATGCTAATGATTCTAACAATCAGCATAACAACGGCTAACCATGTTCCTTCCATACAAGAACTAAAGATACAATATAACTTGGTAGTTGTAACCAACTCTTAAGAATTCATGATATTACCTGAAATATGTCATTCTTCCTCAGTGTGCAACAACAGATCTCTAGTCTTCAGGGCCAGCAAACAATCTGGCACCATCCATTGCTGATATTTATCGGTTTATTGATACATATCGGTGCAGCAAATCGAGTCCTGTTCTTCCGCTTCGCCACTTATTGTCGTGTCTACTAACCAAGTAGCTAACTTTGAAAATGCATAGCAAGTGTAATGAGATTGCACCATCAAATTAGCAGTTGCCATTGATCAGAAAAGTTTTGCATTTCTATAATGAAACATCTCCTCCTACAGCACCTTGACCTGTAAATAACCATCATTGTTCACATAAGCCATGAGAACTGCAGAAATCCTTAGAGAATACATATGCATGTTTCTTTCCTTGTTTATTCTCTTGCAAGGCTGAATGCATATTCTTCAGTTTTCTTTGCACTTTTTGTCAAGGAACTGTACTTTCCTCATGAAATTACATAAATTTACGTGTCGGTTTGTTCCACGCCAATATTTTATAAGTGAATAACCCATAACTTTGAATCATATAGATATTGGAAATAATTTAGCACTTCAAGACTAGAAACATTGACATAACCCTTGACACCTAGTAATCAAGACTTTAACAAGCATCACGCCTTTTGCTAAAGATGGAAGATAAAAGTATGAAATATGCAGTTGTCATTAGAACCATCTTCTGTATTCAAAAAGTAAGGAAATAAAGGAACTCCAATTGTCTTTATATTGTTTTTTGTGTTGCTTGCTATTGCAAGTCTTACTAATGATTGAGACCATAAGCTTAGAGATAGGAGCATAAAAAGTAGCCATATACATAGAACAGTAACTTCGCCTTTTTTAGGCCTTCTTCGTTTTCAGTACCAGGTTTTGATTTGTTTCGTTCGGTATCCCCAACAAAATAACACAGGCAAAACTACTACAAATACAACAGGCAAGATAAACAAACCCAACAAACTAATTTAAAGGAAAAAAACATCTGTTTGATATTATCGTTCAATAGTTGAATGAGAATATAATAAGACTTCAGTCAGATTAATATAATGGAACTTTGTTCTTGCAAAATTGTATAGTTCAAAGAAACTTCAGAATTATTGGACTATATATAGATAAAAATAAAGTGGAATCGCAAGTGTAGTACTCACCCCTATCTCTAAAGGGGCTTATGCACTCCACTCGCTGTCGTATAAACGAGCTCACGAGCGAGCAAAGCCTTCAATTTAGGGGCTTCCCCCCTTATCCCTCACCCTACCCTTTCATTTCCGCTTAAGCTTCCCCGGTTTGGAGGATTAATTGATTGGATACCCGAGAACCATAATCTTTCCTAGGGAATGAAAAGCTATCAGACCATATAAAGTTTGAATGTCTGAAAAGGAAATTTCTCGAGCACTGGAGGACTGCGATACTTCATTTCAAACAAGTCAAAAACCAGTTTTCCTTGTACGGTTGTTTAAACAAAATCCTCGTCACTCAACCATGTATCTTAGCTTAAGTGCTCAAGCCTCAAGTACTCAAGCAGTATGGAGCTTGAGATGGGATGATAGGTTCTAGCCGTCCATATGGTCAAACAAACAGCTAGTCAACAAACTTGAATACAGATGGAGCGAAGAAGGAATTTGTCCTCTCTTTATTTGTATTAGATTAAAAGAATTATATAAAAGGGTTAATATTTTAAGATTTTCTCTCTAAGTTGTCCCTCTTAAATTTTCAGAATAGAAACTAAGAAATATTATACTTATACAAAGTTAGAAGGTAAAATTCTCCTCTCTATAATAGTTCCTATTATCCTCTCTATAATAAGTCCTAGCTCTGCCCCTGCTCGGAAATGAATTGATAAGCATGCTTTCCAGCCAAGCAGATTAAAACCTTAAGAACTGCAAGTGGGAATCTTGACAGCAACAACAAAAGCAGAAAAAAGAAGAAGAAGATAGCACAATGAATCAGATGTGGTTGTGACTTATGAATTTATGATGCTAACCTTGAACCTTAGACGAAAAACCACAAGTAGTCAAATGCTTGGCAAGTGCCTCTCCCAGCTCTTCCCGCCAGTTGGGTGTGATTTTTGCTTCAGCTACAGGCCACACGACTGCTGTCTCCGAAGCAAGGTCAACACTAGCTTGTGACACTTGTGGCTGTCCATAATGTAAAGAGAAGAACAATGAAGATTTGTTCACAAGGCAAAATAATTTCCTCAACTTATTATTTCCAATTGTTAAATCTCCACTAATCCAAAAACAATATGCTAATTAGTTATAGAAACTATAATATTTGATATAATTTAAATATGGTGGGTTTGTGACACCATATCTACCAAGTAGCCATCAATACTAATCGGTTAGAAATGAAATTGCAGGGGTTTTAGAACACATCTGCTCTAATTCCATGTTAAACCATCACTGAATCTTAAGAACTTAAATGATGTTAAATTTAATTTTTATCCATATTCTTTCTTTTTAACGCCAATCCTGGAGGATTAGAAATTGAACAAATTCATTTCCTATACTGAAAATGAACTTATAGTGATACCCTGTATCCTTCCCCCTTCAATCTCTGATTCTTAGATATGAATCAAATAAGTTTATAGGATAAGAAAAAGAATCAGCTCGTACAGAGTTTCTACATATTCATTTCAATCAGCGACTCAAACATTTAGGGATAAGCAAAATCACTAACAAATGAAACATACAGGACGGAGAGAAAGTATAAGTTAACCACACCTGACTTTCAAGAATCCTCTTGACACTTGCCGAACACCCCATGCATGTCATTCCCTATTATAAACAGCATGAAATCGATCAAATGAAAGCGAAGAAAGGAAATTAGTAGTCGAAAACTGAAAAGGGAGATAACCCGTCTCGTACTCCAACATCCAGAACAATGACGTCTGCGGACAGCGTCGCATCGCCCTCAGCTTCTTCCGCAAGCAATTTGGACTCGGCATCGCCACCGTCAGGCCCACCGTCATCCCCACCGCCGCCGCTCTCATCTCGAACGCCGCCATTTCCGTTGCCAGAAGCAAATTTGGAGACGAATTTAAAACGACGGTGGAGGGGAGGAACAGCGGCACGCAGCGGAACGGTGGGCGAGTGAATGGCAGAGATAGGCGAAATGCAGGTGAAATGGGTGAAATTAGGTCCGGAGAAGCGGAAATTGAGGGAGGAGAGAGGCAGATTGGAGGCAATTAGAGAGATGGCGGAATCCATGGAAGGGAAGAGAAAGAAGTTTCTGAATCTGGGCTTATCTTCAGCTCCCCCTCCCAAGGAGAAGATTGGCGACTGTATGACAAGTTCGAATATGGTCAACGACTCAGCAACTCATGGCTGCTTCTGTGTTTTCCTTAAAAAATGTGCCTGCTTACTTTTTATAGCGTGATTCATGTTTTTGTAAGGATAACAAATGAGCTATAGGATTGCATTCCCAACATGGAGTAGATGTAATTTACCGTTGATTTTAAGAACAATATGTGAGGTTATGATTAAGCATCCTTCGTGTGTCCGATCGAGACGAAATCATGTGGTAATGATGTAGGCCCACCTTAGACACCAAAAGGATATAGCCCACCTTTCATTCACCTCAAAATTGTTGAGTATTAGAGTGTGTTGGGTACAATATCCTACTGATGCTTGTTCTTTGTATAGGTAACCACCTCGACTGAACCTTAGATCCAACGTATTTGGAGAATAGAGTTAAAGTTGGCCATGGAGCAGGTTTGAAAGTCTTGCATACTAGCACTTCTCTCCTTTTTTTCCCTGTAATAATACTATCTTTCATCTTAATAACCTTCTCTGCGTGTCATTAGTGTTCATCAATTTGCTCGAGATAATTATGCTTTCTTTAAATTTCATTCTCAGGTTTGTTTTGTGAAGAATATTTCAACCAGCTAAATTCTACTCCAAGGAAAGATGCATAAATGACTATATTAATTTGTGTTAGAGAAGGCTCATCTCAACTCCAATCATCTTCCTTTAACAAATATTGATCAATGTTCTACTGCTTATTTCAATAATACGTCACTACCTTGCAAGACTCTAACACTACTTTTAAATCCAACAATTGTACTTCTTCAAATTTTGAAACTTGGCATCGTGGATTAGGCCATTTTGCTTTTTCTATTGTTAAATACATTTCATTCTTGTAATATCCCAAATCAAATAAAACGTATCTTTGTCATGTTTGTGCAATGAGCAAAAGTCACTATCTTCCGTTCTCTCCTTCACAACGTAATTTTCATGCCTCTCTCCAACTAGTTGAGACTGATGTTTGGGTCCGTATTTTAAACCATTGCGAAATAGCCACAAATATTACTTCAATTTTGTTGATGTTTATTCTAGATATACTTGGATTTATTTTCTTCAAAATAAATCTGATGTCTTTAAAGCGTTTGTCACTTCCAAAACTCAAGTTGAAAAGACTTTATAACCATTCTATTCTTAAAGACAACGCTACCTTCAAAACATTCTTAATGTCAATTTGGTGAATCATTTTGGGAACTATCTAGGTTTGTCATAAAGAAGAAAAGTATGGATTGAAATTTTCTCAAGGACAGGATCTGGAAAACTTTTCAAGGTTGGAAACTCTCTCTTTTCTCTGTGGGTGGCAAAGAGGTTCTCATCAAGAGTGTGGGTCAGGCAATTACCTCATATGCTATGCTTATTGGCCGACGAGAAGATAGGATTATTCCCCAAAAAGATGATATAACCAGAAATAGACCGTTAATCCAAAGCATCACCCGCGCAATCAGCATCACAAAAGGCAGATAAGGATAAAGAACTAAAACCAAAATAGATACCAAGGGAAGGAGTGCCACAAAGATACAGCAATATACGTTTGACGACCGAAAAAGTAGTAACAGAAAGATTGCTCATAAACTGAGTGACCTTATTAACAACAAAAAAGATATCAAGGTGCGTTAATGTTAGATATTGGAGAACACCCACAAGCTGACCATAAATTTGAAGATCATCAAATAAAGGTGCATGCGTATAGAAGCCATAGGAACATAAATTGGAGTTGTACGAGACTTGACACCTATTATACTAGATTCAGCTAACAAGTTAATGGTTGACACAACCCGTCCCAAGACACCTACTAGTCCTAGAACGAGTCGCGCCGACCACAGACCCCGACTAACTATGGAGTTCGTGATCAACTTCTTCTTAACTCTGATCTGAACTTTGACTATCAAGATCTAAATGGATGTACGATAAAATAATATTATTTACATAATAATCATTCTTACATTCATTCTAAACATTCTTTACTAACAAAAGAGTGCAGATAACAGTTTTACAACAACTACATGTATGTACAAAGTGATATGCAATTCCTCAACTACTGTGGGTGGCAAAAACTAAACTAATTTCTCCTTGAAAATCAAGTACAGCCTAGGGGGAAAACAAATGATAATAGTGAGCTAAGAAAATAATCTCGTAAAACTTCCTTCATAGACAACTGAAATTTCAGCTCTTAAAACAAACTACCTAAAACTTAAGTAACACACATTCTCACGTAAATCTCATAAAACTTAAGCAACTAAAAACTCAGTAAACTTTCTCAAGTCAATCTTGTAACAATAATTTCTTTCTAGGCAAACTGAAAAGGCAACGCTCCCAAGTCCAGGATTCGTACCAGGATTTGAAATCCAGATTTGGCCGTGATTGCCCCAGCATTCCCCTGCATCCCCTGCAACCCAATTACACCAACTTCTAAACCTACTATAAAACACATTCTAAAACATATAGAATATTCTTCTTTCAAACACAAAACAACTAGGTAAAACTGAACACCACACATGTATCCATATTCTATTCTGGTTTACTGGCGCAGAGTAATCTCAATACAAAGAACAGAATAATTCTCTCAACGCGCAGAGTCAAATAGTCTCAATGACCTTCTATCTCTGGGTATACTATAGAAACACATTCACATAACATATGATAATCATCTGGATATGATAACACGGTGGTTTGAAAACTATTCTCAATCTCATAAACTGTTCTCAAATTCTTTTCTTCCTCTTTCTAAGAATTTTTATAAATTTCTTAAATCATTCTTTCAAAAAAAAAATTCATGAAATTCTAAAATCATCTTCTGAAATCTCTTTCTAAATAACATTTCAAACATTTCTCTAAAATTATAAAGCATATCTAAATTCTCAGAAACATTTCTAAATTCTCAGACAAACATTTTATATTTCATTCTCAGCACAAAGGCTAAAACATACATAATATATATTTTCCTAAAATTCAATAGTACTAAAATAAACCGCTCACAAATCCTTCAAACCATGTCATAAACTTGGGTTGTACATTGTTCCAATTTTCGCTTTACCTGAAAAGATAATCCAATACGGAATCAACTCATACTTAATCCAACATAAATTCAACACAAACGTAATTCGATCGTAAACCTTTTTATCTTCAAATAACCCAAAATATTAAATACACAATCCATTCTCTCTCTTCATTAAAATCACTCACCAGTAGAAATTTGGGTTTTCGTGACGTTTAAAAAAAGTCACTAAATCACGAAATCCTTTCGTGACGTTTTTCACGATGTCACCTATACCCCCAATCACAAAAGGTATTCACGACGTTTATTTTAAACGTCACGAAAAGTTGAATTCGTGACGGTTAAAAAACGTCATGAAAATAGAGGGTTTTGTGACGATTTTGGAATGTCATGAAAAATGATTTCGTGACGATTTTTAACCGTAAAGAAAAATGGATTTTGTGACGTATAAAAACGTCACGACAAAAGAGATATCGTGACGGATTTAGATTTTGTGATGGTTAAAAAACGTCACTAAAAAAGATTTTGTAGCAAAAAAACGTCACGAAAAACAAATTTCATGATGGTTAAAAAGCGTCATGAAATCCATTTTTCGTACGTGTTTTAAACTTCACCAAAAATAATTGGGCGACGTTTTTTAAACGTTACAAAAACTTGATGACGTGACATTTCAAAAAATGTCACAAAAAATGGATTTCATTCTGTTTTAAAAACGTCATAAAAATAGATTTTGTGACGGTCAGAAAACGTCACAAAAAATAGATTTGATGATGCTAAAAGATGTCACGGAAGACGAATTTAATGACATCATATCACTAAATAATAATGAAAAACAATCTATTTTATTGTTCATCAACGTAGCAAAAATACGAATTTATATAACAAAGTTTAGTATTTATATACCTATACAAACAAAGTATAATACAATTTGGTATTACACAATTCTTTACAGATACTACAAATACAAATACAGAATGAAACATATGTTTTACACACTAACCCAACAAACAGGTCAATTCATCAATTAGTTGCATTCCTAGTTTTTGATTTCTTTGAGTTCGTGAAAGACCTAACGAATAAAACAACAACACTCAGTTAGATAAATGAATAAGCTAATAGATGATGGGAGAGGTAACACAAATACAATTTTAAAAGAAGTAATTTTCTTCTCCCTCGTATTACTTACAAAAGAGTCCTACCATAATCCATTCAATTTCTCTTTCTCTCACTCCACCTCACATAATTTCCCCTTTTTTTACCCAATTTCTTTTACTTTTCTTATTCAATTTTAAACCAATAATTTCATTCTCTCTCTTATGAAAACAAACCTCTTCTTATTTCTTCTCCATTAAAACCGAACCCACGGGTCGTTTCTTCTTCTTCCTCCCTCACTTTTCATTTTTCTTTTTCTACCTTTTTCTTTTATGGAATTTCTTCTAATCCACATATTTTTCTTAATTTGTACTAGAAATCACAACTTAACTCTTAATTTCTTTGTCTTTCTCCATCATGAAACTCTCTCTTTTTTTACCCACGTTATTGTTAATTCTTCGTCTTCTTCCTTCTTCCAGATTTCACTTAATCTCTCTTCCTTTTCTCACCTCTAAATCCACCAAAAAAGCCAACAGTTTATTCATAAAATTATACCATAAAACCCAACCAAAACGTACATCCCCTGTAAAATCAAACCCCATAAATTCATCCTTCATTCTCAGCTAAGAATAACAAGAGTTTTTTCCGTTCTTTGAATACCCATAAAACTCAAACTCCTCACAGACACTTATTTCATAAAAACATACAAATACAAATCTTTAAAAGCTTCTATTTCTATGGGTTCTTCCTATTTACTCTCTAGAAACTTACCAAGTTTGAAGTTCCAAAATCCAGTTCTTAGTCACAAAGCTTATTCTTTTTTCCCGTCTCAACAATTTTAAGATATCCCTCTTCTCAGTCATCACTTTCTTCTCTCTGTTTTCTTCTCAAACCCTTTCTTCTCTCTCTGTTTTTTTTTTCTGTTTCTATTTCCCTTCTTCTCTTCTCTTCTCTTTTCTTTTTCTTTTTCTAAAGCCACATGTCAACT